TGCTGGGCTCCGGGGATCCTTCTGCCTCAGCCTTCCGAGTAGCCGGAACTACAGGCGTGCGCTACCATGCCCGGTTGATTTTTGATTTATTGCAGAGATGAGGTCTAGCCAAGTTGCCCAGGTGGGTCTCAAACCTGCGGGCTCAGGCAATCCGCTCACCTTGGCCTCCCAAAGCGCTGGGATTACAGGCTGGGCCACCGAGCCCGGCTACACTGGTTACTTTTAAACGGGTGACTTTTGCAAACTGCCAGCGAATCATCACTGTATTCTTGTTCAACTGCATGGTTACGGGCCTGCAAAGCGAGCCCGGTCTACCTAGTCCCATACTCAAACGTCTGCCCCAAGGTTCCCGGTGGGTCACGGAGGCCAGGACCCACCTCTCTAACATTGGGCATATCCAGCAGTTCTCCGAACACGTAGACTCCAGGGGCCTCCAGCACCTGGTGGATGAGAGTGGCCAGCGCTGCCCCCTTGGCCGACTTGGCCAGGAGCAGAAACTGCTCCTGGTTCTGCCCTGTCACCTTCACTTCCGCGCTCATGGCCGCACTGGGTTGGAGGGGCCTGGGCTGGGATGGCTGGAGCTGCAAGGACACAGGACGGAGGGCTAAGTTCCCGTCCCGGCGGGATGGGACGCACCAGGGCGAGAGGTGCGCCGAGAGCGTCCGGGACTCCGAAGTCAGCCACTTCACTGGGCTGCCACGCCCACCCCGTCCTCCAGGCGTGGCCCCAAGCCCCACCACGGGCCTCCCACCGAGCTCAAGGGCACCGGACGCGGGGCGAAGGGGTCACACCTGCCGTCCGCCCCAACCACGAAGCGCCCTCAGCGCTCCACGCGTGCCCGGCACGTGCCCCAACCACGTGACCACACACCCGCGAGCCCCACACGCGGCTCCGCCCCTCCCTTAAAGTGGCCGCCCGGGGACGGTGGGCTCCCGCCGTCCGCCGCGTCGCACCCCAGGCCAGACGCTGCGGGCCGTTACCTGGAAGCGTCGTCCTCCAGCGCACCGGGCGGGGCCGCCGCTCCGTCACCTCCGGCAGCTGTTCAGAGCCTTTCCTGCCACCTCCCTTCAGAGCCGCTCTGGCCCCTGAACTCTATGGCCGGCTTCCGGCCGTACTTCCGCTCTGACGGCGCAGGTTTCCGGCGGAACGTGCCCCGCCCTCCCTCCCGAGGACCAATGACGCTCTGGACGGGGACGCCGGCGTTCCGGCCCTCCGGTTGGTCGCTGGGGGGAGAATGGCAGGCGCCTTGTGAAAGGTACGCCGCTTTGTTTCAATAAAACTTTATTGGGGCCGGCCCGGTGGCTCAGCCTATAATCCCAGCCCTTTGGGAGGCCGAGGTGAGACGATGGCTGGATCCCGCGGGTTTGAGACCCACCTGGGCAACTTGGGGAGCCCTCATCTCTACAATAAACTTTTTTAAAAAGTGAGACTTTTGAGACTCCAGTGAGACTTCAACTCAAAAAATGAAAACAAAAATAAAACATTTTATTGGAAGCCGAGCGTGTGGGTGCCCGCCTGTAGGTCCAGCTCGTCAGGAGGGCCCGACTCGACAAACATCATTTAAGAATTAGATCCTTGGCCGGGCTCGGTGGCTCAGCCTGTAATTCTGTGCCTTGAGTGGCCGAGGTGAGTGGATTGCCTGAGCCCGCGGGTTCGAGACCCGCCTGGGCACCTTGGCGAGACCTCATCTCTACAATAAATTAAAAAATTAGCCGGGCATGCACCTGTGGTTCCAGCTACTCGGAAGGCGGAGGCGGAAGGATCGCCGGAGCCCAGCAGGTCGAGGCTGCGGGGGCCGGGAGCGGCCACTGCACTCCAGTCTGGGCGACAGAGTGAGACTCCAACTCAAAAAAAAAAAAAAAAAATTAGATCCTTGAGACCTGGCGTCAGAGACCAGCCTGGGCAACATAGCGAAACCCTCGTCTCTATAAAGACAAACAAATGGACAGCAGCACTTTATCGGAAGAGCGCCAGCTTTATCCGAAGCTGCAGTGGTCTCAGGAGGGCGAGATCCCACGAGGCTCTGCCCGCTCCAGGCAGCCGCAGAGCTGGAGATCGGGGCTGTGCTGGGCGCCTGGACCCGAGAAGAGCCGTCAGGAAGGGGAGAGGAGGGGGAACCCGGCGGGAGGGATGAGGAGGAACGAGGGCGCGACGAGACACAGCACCAGAAGGCGGAGGCAGAAATCACCCGAAGCCCAGCTCCTCTTGTGTGAAGAACAGGAGGAAAGAAGGAGGAAAAGTGAAGGAAACAGGGGTAGCCAACATGCACCAGGTGCTTACTGTTGGGTGGGCGCCTTTCTTTTTTTCTTTTTTTTTTCAGTCGGAGTCTCACTCCGTCGCCCAGGCTGGAGGGCAGTGGCACGCTCACGTCCACGACAGCCTCGACCTGCTGGGCTCAGGCGATCCTTCCACCTTAGCCTTCCAAGTAGTCGGAACTACAGGCACGCGCCACCACGCCCGGCCAGTGTTTTGATTTATTGTCGAGATGAGGTCTCATCCTGTTGCCCAGGCTGATCTGGAACCACGGCTCAGGCAGTCCTTTCACCTGGGCTCCCCAAAGTGCTGGGATGACAGGCTTGAGCCACCGCACCCAGTCAGGCAGGCACCTTTCAATATTTTGTCCCATTGAATCCTTACAGCTGTACAGCGTCCTAGTGTCACCGGGACACCCTCTACTACAGTGACATATACTTGGCCCCACATATACTGTGTGGAAGGAAAGCTTATGTTGTTATTCTCATTTTACAGATGAGAAAATTGAGGCTCATGAAATGTTAGGCATTTACCTGGAACCTAGGTCTTTTCAAACTCAAAACCACCTTCCCACTTCGTGCTACTTTAAAAAAACAAAAACAGCTGACATTTTGGTAGCGTTTCATCTTTATTTATTTATTTATTTAGAGTTGGAGTCTCACTCCTTCGCCCAGGCTGGAGGGCAGTGGCACACTCACGGCTATGACAGCCTCAACCTGCTGGGCTCAGGCTATCCTTCCGCTTCAGTCTTCCAAGTAGCTGGAACTACAGGCATGTGCCACCAAGCCCAGTTAATTTTTCTTGATTTCTTGTAGAGACGACGTCTCAACAAGTTGTCCAGGTTGGTCTCAAACCCCGAGGCTCAGGCAATCCTCTTGCCTCGGCCTCCCAAAGTGCTGGGATTACAGGCTTGAGCCACTGCGTCTGGCTCTGATAGTGTTTTATATTTCACAACAGGCTTGCAGGTCAAGCAAAAGTAAACTTAGTAACTACTTGGTGTCTTTTGTATTAAGCCTTACTTAATTCACCTGATGCAACAATCTAGTAATTATTGTTCCCATTTTCCAGATGGAAAAACTGAGGCCCAGGGAAATTAAGTAATTTGTAAGGAAAAAATGAGAACGTGAAAAAGAGAAAAGAGAGGAAGAGTAATCATAGGACTGGTAGATGGTTAGCGCTGAATAAGTGCAGAGCTTGTTGTCCACATCCCTGGTTTGTGGTAGAAGATAAGCAGAAACACAGAAAAGAGAAAGAGAAACGAGGAAGAGGAGGAGGAGACTAAGTGAGTGGAAGGGGTGAAATATAAAATTGGGAAGGAATCAAAGGCATAAGATGGTCAAAATGTGAAGGAAACAGCCGGGCTCGGTGGCTCAGCCTGTAATCCCGCGCCTTTGGGAGGCTGAGGTGAGTGGATTGCCTGAGCCCACGGGTTCGAGAC